TCTGGAATTAAATGCTTGCAATGGCTTACAGTAGCAATACCATCATGCTCATGTTAAGCAGGTGTAACCAAGTTCACCAGCTTAGTTAAACATATTAGCAAGCTAACATTCACTAATTAGCACTAAATTGCTGCGATGGATGGGAAGGGGCTTTAGCTTTCTCAAATCTCAACTGATATAACACAGACAGAAAAGCAGCAGTACATGTGTGTGTGTGAAAATGAATAAGGCTAATAGCTGCTAATTATGTTTTGATTGACTAAGTGCTAAAGTGGAAAGCACTTACAATGATCACATTTTACAAATTGATCACTTAGATGAGTGCATGATTATTATAAACAGATCCTTCTTTTATTTTTCTCCTATCTCATACAGATTACCCTCTGATTGACATTTGTATATTCATTGCATGAATGTAAAAAGTTATTACTTTGCTACTTAATGTTTTAAAAGGAAAATATCATGAACTGCACTGTGGCTCTCCCCTGCTCCAAGTCTGAATCGTTTGTGAGCTTTATGAAAAATACCTCCTGCTGTGTGAAAGCGGGGATGGTAATGAACGCAAACAGAGCAGGAACAAGAGGGCAAAACAACTTGCTGAGTCTTGGTGGTGTGAGTAGAGGAACATGTCCCATGGCACCTGACTGTTCACCCACAGGGACAAAAACACGCTAGTGAACTTAAAATGGGAAGGTAGACAGAAATCATCATTACACAGTCACAGTGTAAAGCATATTATATATCATATCATATCAGCAGGCTACAACAGTCTCATTTTTATTCCATATGTTGTCATAAATTAAAAGGCAAAGTCACATTTAATGAGTAATTATTAGAACTATTAGATTTTTATGTTTCACAAACAAACATGAGATGATTCATGTAGAGAGCTTCTTGAGCTACACAGAGATTGAGTCTTTATGGTTTTACACAGAGAAATAACCGCACTAGTAAAACTCGCACCACTAGTATTAACATAATGTGTGAACTGCCACTCTGTTCCTCTCCAGAGAGTTTTAGTCCCACAATAATAATTTCACACAGTTACTAATCTTTTCATTCCACATTTCAAAGACGCACTTGTTACTGGCTTGTGCTGTCAGATGGCACCGTGATTCACACACATACACACGCACACACCCACATCACACTAAAATGTGCAATTGTCCACATTGTAATATTGTTAGAAGACCAGTGAAAGGTTTGTGACACAATAAAAAGTTTGCTGTAAACAGAGCTCAGCAGTGAGTTGAAGAACTTCTGAAACGCTCATTACCACAGGATGCGGAGTCGTGTTAGAGCTTAACCCGACGATATTCATACTGATTCATAAGATGGCGGCGGTCCTCTCTAGCAGTGTGACCCCTTTAGAGAAATAAACCAGTGTGAAATAGTGCATTCGATTTTTTGGTGAGGATGTCAGAAGCTGTGATAGGCTGCACTGAATTCAGATGACTCAAGCTGTCTTTGACTAATACAGTGTTCCCTTCCAAAAGAGTTAGCCACTTAAAAAACACTGCACAGACAGTTTTGACTCAAATTTGTGAAATGTCGTTTCTGATGAATGAGGAAAAAAGCAACAAACTTATGTAAAAGTTTGAAAGTACAAACTCTATTGGGAGTTCATGCTTCTTAGTGAGAAATCAGACCCATGAAACATGGTTTTAGTCATGTGGATGTAAAGACTGCTGTTATACATTTTTATTAACACTGGTTTGGATGTTTAATGTGAAAAATCACCTGTAGTGATTTTCTGAACCTGTAGAGAATTTTCAGCAAATCAATAGTTTTCCTCAGCTGAATGTAGCATTGTTGCCTTTCAGCTCATTGTTTTGGTTTTAAGGCCTGCAACGACACAATTTTGACCCACTCACACAATTTGGGTGTTCTTTCCGGTTTTCATTAAAAAGCTTCTATTCAATCCAATGATTGAAATCCAATATACAATATTCATAACTCAATAGTCCTCCCAGGAGTTGGTTTAGACCAAAAACACAGCTAAAAGAGGGTAAAGATCGGACTTACATTTGACAGACTGACATTCACTCACACACTCACATAATGTTGTGTTTATTGCTTGTTGCATTACACTCAGAATTACAGGTTTGAATCACAATTTCTTTACATTTGAAACCTGGTGCGTCTCAAAACAATAAGAAAAACCAATGTGATTCATTAGCCAAGAAAAGATAACTGCAGACTGAGCCACTTCCTATAACACTTTTTTTTATACATGTGGATATAGCAGTAGGTTAATCAGGTAACTTTCTGCAGCTGACTGATCAACTGTAACTGCGGTGATAGCATCAGGTCTGCCGTCTTCCTGCTCCTCCCTCTGAGCAACACACTGATTAATACTGTGCTTGTGACACTCAGCATACTGGGAAATTTACATTTATCCTTAATCTCATTCTTCTCCACAAGGCTTTTCCCCCATTTCTTAATTTAGATTTTGTGCTTTCTGCTCACGGATGATGAATAAAAGTAGGGTCTGATTAAGAGTGTCAGCTGCCAGATGTGGATGAGTTCCCCTTAAAATGACAGATTGTTCTTTTTGTGTGTTGCAGTGCAAGAACCAAATTCTCCTTTTTATGTTTAAGTAGTGGTCTGGTGAATGAAGCTATTTTCTGTCTCCCAGGACTTTGATTAAATTAATGTAAATTGAATCTTTACATGTTCAGTAGAGAGGATTATCCTAAACAAATCTAGAAGCCCTAAAGTCTTCAGTTCTGATCATGATGGACCTATCAGCAGCCATTGATACTGTGTGCCACTGCATCCTACTCTCTCTTCTCTTCAATCTAGGCAAGACAATGGGCCAACATTCTTATCCCATCCCATTCCCCAGCATTTACTTAAAGGTCTATACTGTACTGAAAATGTAGCCTCAAGTGCCTGCCAACATTTTTTGTTAGCTCACAGACTAGTCAATAGTACATCCTACGGGTACATCCTACAAGGTTTTGTTGAATACAAAAACTATGGAAAGACTGAAATGTACCTTTGACTGCACTCAGTTAGCTGTCCCTCGGCAAACCTGATGCTATCTGATTTTTGACCAATTGTGTCAGTGTAAACAAGCTTTACATCGATATTATGAACTTTTTACAATATGGATTTAGAAATCCAAGACTGTTGGCTTCCCCCCTCTGACAAAGGTACCTTAGTTTACTTGCCTTGTGTGCCTTGATTTCTGACTGCCTGTGCACAACTGGTTCACAGGACTAACAAGCTTAAACTGCCTTTTGTGGCAGCTGAAGCTTGAATATTTTAAAAAATATATTTTTTTAGTATTATATTATATATGTATATGTATTTTATTTGATCATTTTGACTTTATATTTTTGGCAGCTGAGTCAGACACATGTAATGAAGACTCATCCACCACATTGCATCTGGTGTGAATTATTTGGGTGCTTGAAAATGACTGTCAGGGAATGGTGTTGTGTCACAATTTATTGTTTGTGTGTCTTTCCTGGCTCCCTCAAATTCACACTCATTTCACATGTACCACGTGTTTCTCACCACAGATTCTGGATGTGCGTAATGTCATGGTGGTCGTGTCTCGGTGGTATGGAGGCATTTTGTTGGGTCCTGATCGCTTCAAACACATCAACAACTGTGCGAGAAACATCCTGGTGGAGGAGGGATTCACTGCCTCCATGGTGAGACACTGTCTGGGCCTCTTACATATTACTCTGTCATCGTCCTCTGACACATCATCAGTCAATTTTGACTTTCCCTCAATTTTCTGATGCTGAGGCTGAAAACCATCTGGTATCTTGTAATTTAATGGAATTACACACTGATGTTTCTCCAGATATCTGAAAGCAAACTGATGGTTTTTTCTAGCCTTACTGACAACCAAAGCAGAGTGAGAAAGTCACCTGTTAACCAAACACTGTCAGACTGTAGGATATACAGACTTATTATTATGATAATAGGGAGTGTCTTGCTTTTTTTCCACAGGAACTTTTCAGTAGCTGCCATATTAGGAATATTGGTTCATTTGAAGTATCTGGTTGCCACATGTTCTGGAGATCAAACACTCTCTCCTGGCACTCACCTGCCTGAAGTTAGGTCCAGTCTGCTTTGAAGTCGTCTCTGTGTTCTGCAAAGTTATTCCATTGATAACATGATGGACCTTTGAGCCGCAGCCACAGATAGATTAAAGGTACTGCAAAGCTACTCCTAAGAGTATCCTACTTCAAAACCCCATCAATTGCACTGTAAAAATCCACACTTGATTTCATCCCCATCCTGGCAGCGAGGGCTCCATTTTTCCTGGATGTCGAGCCTGGACTCTGTGAGAGCTAAATAGACCCCACTGCCTGTGGATGGATCGACTCACAACCAATGCAGAATGGCTTGTTTCTAGTTCATGATGTACTTTAATAGCCCAGAGGTTATGATGTTATTCTAAAACAATTTATTTTGTCCTAAACTGACTGGAGTCGGTTTTAAACTTTTTGATTGACAGGTGCACAATAATTCAGACATGACAAATATCTACAATAGATGTGCTCAATGAAAGCATGTAATTACAGTGCCCTTAGAATGTCAGACTGAATCCCTCTGCTGTGCTCCTAAGAAGATTAAACACTTCAAAGTTGATGTGATATTTAAAGGTTAAATTTAGAGCAAATCTTATTGTGAGGTCACCTAGATTTCATGGCAATCCATTCTATGAAATGTCTTAAAAATGTCCACCAGTTGGTGGCAGTAGAGGTAAATTCAGGGGATCACCAAAGTAATGAGTCAGCCATTGGGGAAAATAAATCTCCATAAGATATTTCCTGAGAATTCATTCATATTTAAATTAAAATTAAAATAAATTGTTTTAGGCATTTTTATGCCACTATTGATGATAAGTGTGCGGCTGGAAAAAAACCAGGGCTGTTGCAGTTCATGTTCACTACTTGGCCACTAGGTGCTAAAATCTATCTTAAAGGTCCAGTGTGTAAGATTTAGGTGAAAGGGATCTATTGGCAGAAATTTAATGTAGAATAATCCTCATAATGTTGTCACTAGTTTGTTTCATCTAAATTGTGTGAATTGTAGTTTTTTTTTACCCCAGAAAAGGTCCTTTATATTTAAATACTTTAGATTTACACCAAGGGGGTCCTCTCTACAGAGGCCCCCATGTTTTTTACATCAGTCCAGACTGGACAAACTAAACACCTTTTGAGTTTTTATGACAACTGAAGCTACCACAGGTTCTTTTTCATGTTTGGAAGGAGAGGATGAGGTGAGGGGTGTTCAGCTGCAACATGCAATTTCAACACTAGATATCACGAAATTCTACACACTGTAACTTTAATGATTTTTCTGTTTGGACCAAGGTAATTAATAGACCACCATTGTCATCTCTAAACTAAAGCCACTATCCAAGACTCTTGAAAAGAGGATGTACTGTATATACAGGGAAAACAAAATAGGACCCAGAATTGATCCTTGAGGTTCACCAATTTGAATCTTTTTCTATGAAGACATGTTGCTGAGCGAAACATTGAACTTTCTGTTGCCCATATAACTCAAAATAATTCAGGTTAGTTCCTGCTATTCTGTCTCAACCTGTCATAAAAAAGGTTTGTTATATTGAACTGTACAACATCTCATTCAAGTTAAAAAGGTTAATTTCCAAACAGGACAATAATTCTGTGGAAGAGACAGTGTAGTATATATTTGCTATTGACGAATTACAAAAAATAGATCAAATCTATGAATACTTGGATTGGATGCAGGGGTAAATTGTAATAAGAAAACTAACTGAACTGGTTTTACACAGGATCTCACAAAAGGAAAGGTTGCCATCAGTTAACTGACTTGTTTATGAGATGCAGTAACAAGGCTAGCTCCTATTGACTAAAACTGTGGCAAAACTTCAAACATTCAAACCATGTAATTAATGAGGAGGATGCATGAATGTTTGTCACGTTTTCTTTTAATCTTTGTTACCCTGCTGTATGTCACAGGATTATCATTAATGCTTGTTTTCTGTCCAGGCAAGCTGTTAATGCGTTGAGAGCTCTACGAGTTGGCAGTCTGTATTGTCAGTAATAATTAGTAGAGAATGTTTTACAAGAGTACTTAATGCAGTGTTTGCTGCAATCATTTGAATACATTAAAACAGTATGGTGCGTGACAATCAGTACTTAGGAAATTACATTACCCAGTAATTTCTGTAAGACTGACAAACACAGCAGGAGTTCAGGCAAAAAGTGTCTGTGAAAAATTTAGACAGAGGCTTAAAACACTATAGAAATATTATGCCTGGAAAAGGCTTTGCCACCATTAAGCAGAGTGCTAATGTAAGATAATTATGAGTCTGTTCATTTGCTAATGTTTTCCTCTTGTTTCACAGGATGAGCCCACCAGATCAGCAGCCAAGACCAAAAAGCCGAAAAGCAAGAAGGCAAAATGAATTTGAAAAGAAGAAAGACCTGAACTCAAACACATTTGTGTAATGTTTTACATTAATTCAGCTGATTCACATGCATCTTAATGGACAAACAAACAGTAATCCTTTGCTATTAGAAATAATTTATTCAAGGTATTAAGATGTCAACTGTTATTTCAAGTGGATGTTTTAACATTTTTGACAAGCAAACCTTGAAATGAAATATTTACAGTACATTTTTTAATTAAAGCAATCAAACCATGGGGATTTATACACAAACTAATGCAAGCAGATTGTACTTGTTTCTTTCCATCCATTAGCCTCACACTCTTTATTCTTCTTCATCTTTCGGCTGCTCCCTTTTCGGGGTCGCCACAGCAGATCATCTGCCAATATATCCACTACCCTTCCTATTTGTGATCCGCATGTTTGTTTTGGCACAAGTTTTACGCCGGATGCCCTTCCTGACGCAACCCTCACCATTTATCCGGGCTTGGGACCGGCACTAGAACTACCCAAAAGAGTATCCCTGGTGGCTGGTTTAGCCTCACACTCTTTATTAGAAAACAATAAAACCATCACACACCTGAGTGAATGACTTTGCTCAGGAGAAAACAAATCAATTTTTTTTCTACATCCATTTCAGATTCAAAGTCTGTGTTTGGTCATGGTGTTGATTCCATCCCTGCCCTTCAGCTGAATCTGCATCTTAATGAAAGTCAAACACAATTCATTTCACATTTCCAAAAAATATGATCAGACACAGCAGCTCAACAAAATTTGCCCCTGAAGTATTATTGACACAAAGAGTCATACACACCATCTTCTCCTTTGCTAAAAAAATCACAGTTTTCTCTGGGATATACCTCACACTGGCTCCTGTGGGGCTTTGCCTCAGCTCTTTGTCTTGATGTCCCTGGAAAGACAAAATCTGCATATTAACCACTCCAGGGTTGGCTTTAGGCAGCAGAGGACTGCTCTCTAAAAATATCCAGGGCTCGTCTGCACAGTCGGCATTTTGGTTTCTTCTCTCCAACTGTTTTGTGAATTTATTGTGATGTAAAGAACAGTTTGACTTTTATCTGGGTTTAGTGTCTTAAAGGAATGAAACTGAGAGCATGATCCAAGAAGGATATTTTATTTGAATTACAAATTGGTAGGTTCTTCAAACGTCCTGCATGTCCATATACGAAGCCGCCTGCCCATTTCTACCATTCAGGATAATTACAGCTAATTCGCTCAGCAGAGTTGTTTCTCCCTGGCAAGCTGTCATCACGCTGAACCCATCATCTAAACCCTTAATCATATTTATTACAGGCTTGTGAAGAACTCATGCAGCTTAATTCTTACTCCAGGCTGAGGACAACCCTTGCAGATCTCAGATTTCATTCACACTAGTTGCTTTCAATATTCACATTGAGGGTGAACCAACGCGAAGCCTGCATTGAATTGCCTTTTGGATTCTTCGTCTTTCAAAGTGAAGAGCGCATGCTTATGGGAGCAGCATTTTAAACAGAGTGAACTCCGTCAGAACAAAAGTCAAAATGTGAGTCTGAGGTCACAGTTCACAGGACCTAGTGGATAGTGTGATAGCATGGAATTTCACTGTCACAGAGTTATAAAAAAAAAAAGTTATAAAATAAAATTCATCAAAGCTGTTTTACTGAGAAAAGAATGTTTCTATAGTTAGATTCAGACTTATTATATTGTGTTTTTTCTAAATATTGCCTCATATTTTTACAATGCTTTTTCAGTTTTTATTTCAACCTTGTGAGGAAGATGGATTTCTGACAGGAGAGAACAGAACCATATGGTGCACCAGGTCATATTTGCTAAGTATTTAACATTTTGGGGTTTCATTGCAATCATTTGATATATTTCCGTTTTAAAAACCTGTGATCATCAGGATCAAGTGGCTGAAAGACTCCGATCCTCAGAGTAAACTGCATATTTTTTGAAATTGCAAGAAGAACCATTATGTTGTCAGTCTTTCTTGTTAAATGGTGGGGACTGACATAATCTTGGAGGAAAATAAAACAAAGGAAGAAGAAGAAGATAATCCCCCAGTCAATTGAATTTATCAGGACTGTGAACTCAGGGTCACTTGACTAAAGCCTTGATGCTTGGTGGAAACCTCTTTGTGCTGATGATGCCCTGCAGCTTGCAGACACCCTGCAGCTCAGGTCCTCCACTCTTGATATAAAAAGGTCTGCCCAGAGATTGGATATGAAATGGTCTGCACCATAGACTGTACATAAAAAGGTCTGGACCAAAGACTGTACATTAAAAGGTTTGGACCAGAGACTGTACATTAAAAGGTCTGAGCCATAGACTGTACATTGAAAGGTCTGGACCATATAAAAACGTCTCGACCAGAGACTGGATAAAAAAAGGTCTGGACCATAGACTGTACATTAAAAGGTCTGGACCATAGACTGGATATGACAAGGTCTGGACCATAGACTGGATATGAAAAGGTATGGACCAGAGAATGGATATGAAAAGGTCTGGACCATAGACTGTACCTTAAAAGGTCTAGACCATAGACTGTACATTAAAATACCTGGACCATAGACTGGATATGAAAAGGTCTGGACCATAGACTGGATATGAAAAGGTCTGGACCATAGACTGGATATGAAAAGGTATGGACCATAGACTGGATATGAAAAGGTCTGGACCAGAGACTAGTTATGAAAATGTCTGGACCATAGACTGGATATGAAAATGTCTGGACCATAGACTGGATATGAAAATGTCTGGACCATAGACTGGATATGAAAAGGTCTGGACCATAGACTGGATATGAAATGTCTGGACCAGAGACTTGATATGAAAATGTCTGAACCATAGACTGGATATGAAAATGTCTGGACCATAGACTGGATATGAAAATGTCTGGACCATAGACTGGATATGAAATGTCTGGACCATAGACTGGATATGAAATGTCTGGACCAGAGACTTGATATGAAAATGTATGAACCATAGACTGGATATGAAAATGTCTGGACCAGAGACTGGATATGAAAATGTCTGGACCAGAGACTTGATATGAAAATGTCTGAACCATAGACTTGATATGAAAATGTCTGGACCACTTCGTGCGCTTTGATCGCAGACTTCAGTAGCTGCGCTGGCACAAAGACGCAAAACTATCAAGCGCGCAGAAATCACCTGACGAAGACCGGAAATTGTTGCATCTCTTTGTCTCGGGAAAAAATGCAAAACATTTTTCAAATGATTTACGGTTTGAATCATTCTTAAATGCATGAACACCTGAAACTTTATTATGGCTGAAGAAGAATAAGCTCATTGAATATAAACCCCTCTTGGTTTCTTTACCTGACAGACCTCCCTCTCATCAACTGGTTTCTATTATTAGTTTTATTTTGAAAATGTGAGCGGATATGGCCCTTATATTCTACTCCAGCAGTCTTAACACATGAGACAAAATAAAGTGTGATCTCGGTGGTACCCGCACATCCAGCTGTCAGCTGTGTGGCACACACTGAAGAACTGGAATACACCTTTTATTACTGATTGAAAAACAGCAGGCTTGAACTCCAGCTCGTGTCTCTGCATCTCTTATTAATGGACTGAAAATGGACATTTGGATAAAAGTGTCTTTATTGAACCACAGCTCCTCGCTCATGTGTGACTCTCTGGTAAAGTGGAGCGCACGGGCTGGACTCGGACTTGTCACTTGTGCGTGAGATGAAAAAGCTCTTCGAGGGTTTTCACGTTAAATTCACAATGAGCGCGCACATCCCGGAGTCCAACTCCAGCGGCAACTTGACTCCCGCGGTGACCGGGGCTGGCGCCGCGTTCCAGGGCTACAAGGTGATCATCCTGTCGGTGCTCATGGTGGCGCTGGTCGTGGTGGTGGTGGCCGGGAACGCGCTGGTCATCACGGCTTTCATCGTGGACAAAACCCTGAGGACTCAGAGCAACTACTTCTTTCTGAACCTCGCCATATCTGATTTTCTCGTGGGTGAGTTGATGGTGCATCTTCATGTCTCTTTGTGTCTCCTCAGTTTCTTGCTTTTGTTCCCGCCTGTGAATGAAACACCACTAACATGCTCATTGTGCACTCCCACCACAACGCATTGTCATTTTCCTACAATATAATTATAGTGATTCACTGTTGTTCAAGTGTGGCTTGTTCCTGATGACCTTACCGTCCTTGTGTTGCTGTGCATTTGCAGAGAGCCACTATTTTATATCTAATCAGCCTCTCACACCCCTCTATAGTGTGCTGCTCTTAAACCTGCAGCATTGGATCAATTACAGCCTCCTCCTCAGTGATGAACTATGAATGCACACTGCTTTTGTCATCACTCATTGTGATGGAAACAAACAGAACCTGAGTAATTTTTGTATCAAATTGAACAGGTGTCACTCCCAGACAGTCTGGAGAGGTGTGACTGTTCACACTGGATTTGTTCTGGCATTGGATCATCATGCAGAGTGTGTGTGTTTGTGTGTGTTCCAGGTGCCTTCTGTATCCCGGTGTACATCCCGTACAGCCTGATGGGTCGATGGATGCTGGGTAAGGGTCTCTGCAAGGTGTGGCTCATCATGGACTACCTGCTCTGCGCTGCATCAGTCTTCAACATTGTCCTCATTAGTTATGACCGCTTCCTGTCAGTCACAAGAGCTGTAAGTACAGGCTGAAGAGGTGCTCATTACCACACACACACACAGACACACACACACACAGGTTACTGACATACTGACACAGTCATTTACATTCACAGATTTCTGCCTCTTTAAAGGGATAGTTCACCCTCACCACTCAAATGAAAATGAACTCATTATCTACTCACCACTATGCCGATGGAGGGGTGAGTGAGGTGTTTACCCCTGAATTGTTTTGTGGACTCAAACACTTCATTCACCCCTCCATCATTAATTTTGGGTAAACTATCCCTTTAAGAGTGTGCAACTTTAATCCATCATTTTCTTCCATCTATTAGAAAAGAGATTTGAACTGTCTGACTAATATGGTCAGTAAATATTGTCATGACATGAGATTATAACTCAGTAGTCCAGAGGTATGGACATAAAGGCACATTTTACTGTAAGAGTACCACCCACTTACTAAATAGTGCACTACTTTCACTGTCCAGGTTATTTTATTGTCCCAATTCTGAGTGTGTATCCACAACATTGTGTCTTCAAAAATTGCACAAAATTGTGGTGTTCATGCCTTTTGAGCTAATCTTCTTTCTATTAACAGATTAATAGAAACAGTGATAAACCAAAATTATGATGATTAACACGTTTCCAAAATCAACATTTAATGCTAGCTGATGGTTAAACTAGTAAGTGTGTATTACATAGGAAGTAGTGAATGAGAGAATGAGAGTGTAATATCAGACAGTTAAAGTTAGAAAAAATGTACCATGGTAACGTCATAGTCTGTTTTTAGACACAACCTTTGCCTTTCACAAATGAACAATGCAATGTGTTCTCATTGTTTTGCATCTGTTGCGTGTCGTAACGTCATGTACTCGCTCACTTAAATTTTCTGAACATCTTCCTGCTGTATTCTGACATGTGTTCACTCTGACATTCTCCGGACATTTTACACGGGGTCTGACAGGAAAAATTCTGGAGAATGTCTGGAGCCACTGTCTCAGCCCCGCTGGATAATTTCAGGAGAAAGCCTGGTGTTCAGTGCGTGTCTGATAGCATCAGTGGTGATGTTTCAGGGTAATTTGAGTTCGGGACAGAGGCTTTCCTTCCTTATCATCTTTTAGGAGGTGTAAGGTGTGGAAGATTTGGGTTGTCGAATGAAATATGCCGTTGAGCTGCTTTATGGGAAATAGAGTTTGGGATGTAGGGATTTTGGGGCTTGACTCACACTGTAGACCAAGATTTAGGTTGGATATCTCCGCCTCTGCTGCTTTGATTTCAATCATTCGTTGGTGAGCCCTTCTACCTTTAGGTGAAAGTGAGAGGGACTAAATGGCTGCAGTGCTCCTTTAAAGAGGGTTCTAACCAGAAAAAAAGAACAACCAGATATTTGTTGCTTCGTATGACCCTTTCATCGTAAAACCATTCTTAATATTCCATCATCATGATTTTTTGGTGTTGGACCCTATAGACTGTATGCCTAGTATTGATCATCAATTATTAATTTGTTCCTGAGATTAAATCTGAAGATCCACCAGACAACATGATCATCTGAGCTTTATTTAATCATATTTATAGTCTCACAGCCTGTGTTATCTTTAATGATTTTGATTGACGTTTTAATCTCAGTATCTTCATACTAAATATTATTTATTAATGTAATAATCTTTGATCAGTAGTGAGCAGGATTGTAATTTAAAATGGAATTGCGGCTGTGCTTTAGGAATGAATTTTCAAGACTGGGGCCAGAATCTAGTTTTATCCTAAAGTGGCTGGCTCTATTGGAATTTGATTGACTCCAAAAAACTCAGTTAATTCTTGATTTCCAGAAAGCCTTACAGTCGCAGAGCAGAACTACAAACAATCAGAGCAATTAATCATGCGATGCATAGAAAAATGAATTAACTATTTCAGGATTCCCTCAGTAGGATCAGATATCACAACTCAAAAACCTGTGACAGTGCAGTTGTTTGTTCTTGTTTTAGAGGGAAATATATTGTTAATATATTGTTTAGCACTGCCTGATAATGGATTCAACAGACCCCTCAATGTCACCAGCAGCCATCTTGATGTTAACAAAAATGCCTCAGCAGTGCTCCTATGTCCGTCAAACTGACCAAACCCGCCCCATTTTAGATAAATGATTGTGATTGGCCTGGTCTGAAAAGGGGGGGTTGTGGACCCATCTGTGTGCGCAAATAAACATGAGCTTGCTGATTGGTCTGGTTTCAAGGCTAATTTGCAACTGCATTGTCTCATGCTGACATACCCAGCTGTTGCCAATGCAGAGAGACATTTGATGGTTTCTGGCAAAGTAAAGATGAAAAACTACAACAACAAAAAGGGGAGAGTGGAAAATAGAGGAGCCCGGCTCAATGATAGATGTTAGACTGAGAAGAGGTGAAGTGAAAATGGAGCAAGTGAAAACAGAATGAGCGATGGGTGATGACGAGGGAGGAGTGGATTGGGAGAAACCAGATGTCTCTTTCACACTTCTGATCAATGTGGCTCTCAGCCCGAATATATATGAGGCTCATGTGTCGGTTTCACTTACAGCGTCTCCCTGCTGCTCAGAGCATAATACAAACAGTGCTTCATTTGAACAAGACACTCAGAGCAGAAGCAAGTGCATTTGTCAATCTGATAAAACTGCATCTGAGCAGCTGAGGCTCTTTGATATGCGACAAATAGCAGAAGACTTTGTGTTCATGGTGTATCACTCTTGAGTCACACTTGTGTTTCTCTTTTGGCACAGGTTAAATACAGAGCACAAAGAAACATGACCCGCCAGGCTGTGTTCAAGATGGTGGCGGTGTGGGTGTTGGCCTTCATCCTCTACGGCCCTTCCATCATCTTCTGGGAGGCAATCTCCGGAAAGACCATGGTCCAGCCCCACGAGTGCGAGGCAGAGTTTTATCACAATTGGTACTTTCTGCTCTGCGCTTCGACCTTCGAGTTCTTTACCCCATTCGTGTCGGTGGCCTTTTTCAACCTCAGCATTTACCTAAACATCCATCGCAGGAACAAGAGCGGAAGCGCCTGTGCCGGGGACGACGTCAAGACTCAGAAGAACAATAAGAAGTCCAGCGACGGTGGAGCCTGGACTGTGTTTTTTGTCAAAACTCGAAAGGTGTCATCCAGCGAGCCCACTGCTATCTCTGCAGTTATCGAGGATGATGACATCCTTTCCAGTGGGGATCCAAATACCAGTCAGATATTCACGCAGAGGGAGAAGTGCTCTCCGAACAGAAAAAACTCCAGGCTGTTTCAGCACACAGCCTCCTGCATGGCGCCCGGTCGTAGGACACAGGGATCTCGCCTTTCCAGAGACAAAAAGATTGCCAAATCTTTGGCCATTATCGTCTGTATATTTGGGATTTGCTGGGCTCCTTATACTCTACTAATGATTATCCGTGCTGCTTGTAGTGGCAATTGTGTGGCAAAACACTGGTATGAGATAACATTCTGGCTTCTTTGGTTGAACTCTGCCATCAACCCGTTCTTGTACCCTCTGTGCCACAGCAGCTTTCGAAGGGCTTTCTCAAAGATACTGTGTCCTAAGAGACAATCAGTGCAGCCTCAGATTGAGACTCAGTCTTGTTAGACAAACTCCACTACACTTCCATGCTTAATGAATGCAGTAACTGTTGTTGGTCCAACACTGTAAAAACCCATGTACTGTTCTTCCGTCAGAAAAGATTAAGACAAATGTTTACATTAAAGTGAGGATTGTCAGAGTATATTTGATAGCAATATAACAAGACGTAGTGTGAGAATGAAAAACGGCCGATATGATTTTCTTAATGAAAGGGTAAAGCAGTGGTCTATGTCTCACCTTTAAAAGTGAAATTGTCCTTGATTAAAGTGCCTCAATGATCTGATGTGAGATTTTCATCTTTAACCTTGCCAGACAATCTCTGCAAACAGGACTCAAAAGAACGTTATGGTAAGGCTTTCTCCCCACTGAGCTCTTTATGTGCTGAAGACATTAAATTATACAGCCGGGCAGAGAGTGATTACCATAATTTAGTCAGAGATGTTATACAAAAACTCGAGCATACCAGGTTCTTAAATTGCAGTGTGTCGGAATTCAAGAATTCAAACAAAGGGAGACAACAGTGCAAACATCTAGTTTTTCACAGGGCTGCTGTTGCAAGAAAAGATTTGTATGCACGGCAATTCATTTGAAAATGAGGGCCCTTTGCCTGTAGTTTGCAATTTCAAGTTTTTCATCATGCAGCAATAGAACTTGGTACATTGACAAATGTGGAGTCCTTGAAGCTGCTGAACAGAAGCAGTTAAACTGCATTAGTTCACTGAATACTGAGTGTACTTTTTACCACAGTGATGTTTTCTATCATTTTATCTGAAAAGCAAGTGAGTGGCAGGGTGAATCAGCTATTTTCTGCCAATACTGTATCTGGACTTAATTTCTTGTTGATGTTCAAGATGTACAGCACTACAACATGAGGAAAGCATTAAAACTTTTGTACAATAATGTCTGTGCCAAGCTAGATGGATGTGTTCTTTAGTATTTATTCAATGAATGGTTTGTACCACCTGAACTACTACTTTACTACTTTGTATGAAGGCTATGAATGTGTCGGTGTAAGCAGCCAATCAATTAATAAAAAGGACTGCCTACAGGTTCTGCGACTGTGTGTTACTGGTAATGTTTGGAATGCAGGTAGTGTAGAATATAGTTTGACAGTTTGGGAAATAAACCAAAGAAAGAAAGATGGACAATGCTAACATGTCATTAGCTTCCCTTAGCATTAAGATTGGAAATGGGAGAACAGCCTACTGACTCTCTTAATGTAACAATGTATAACTTAGCTTATGGCAAACAGTCTGTTCAGGACAAATAATCTGATTTACCTGGTATGACACAAAGAGAACTTAACTTTTTGTCCTAACTAGTAAAAAGACAATGGAGTGCTATCAATCATCTCATGCAACCCATGCAGCAAAGCAAAATTATTTGCCAATATGTTGAACTAATGCTGTAAAGGCCTTGTTCAGAACAGCAGTCTTGGATGATCCGATCACAAGCGGACAGCTTCAAGTTCAGGTGTGGTGCGTTCACAACATGCTCTGAGGACATGTTTGAGATCCAGTCACTCAGACCACATCCAGAGATGGACTGGGAAGCATGCAGACCACATGAAGGACCGCCTGCTCAGCCGATGTACTCTGACCTGTTACAGTTTGATAATGAACTGAAAGTATTTTTCAGAGTATTCCCAAACAGAAATGACGTACATGTTTATTTGTATATAGAGTCCCAACTTGGGATCCAATCAAGTAGTCACTCGAGACATGTGGGGAAACACTTTAATACCAGGTGTGAATTGACATACTTGGAGCCGTCCACTTGTAATCAGGTCTCTAGAGACAGATTTTATTACCAGCTATTAACAAAGCGTAAGGGTTTTGCATGAAGTAAAAGGTTTGTGATTGTTTCTGGTTGCTGTGATAAGATAGGACAAGACTGACATGAGATGGTTCACGTGAGCTGAGCAGTACTGTACATATCACACTCAGCTACTTTTGAACAAAGAAGAAACATGTGAAATATTTAAGAATGCTAATGTTTCTTTAGAGGCCAAATCCTAACAAAAGACTCTACACTGCAGATCTTGTTTTAAAGAATGCTGTCAAGCGTTTTATCATCTGATAACAAGTACAAGATGAATGAAAGGCATGTCAGAACTGCAGGGCTTTGACCTTTGGTACATATTTACAGCACAGATGAACAGAATCAGAATATGTCCGGAAAAAGCATCCTCAGGGATTTGAGACCGCCAGGAATCAACACTGTTGCTCTGTGCTGTGGGAATAATGTGGGACAATTTACTTGAGAGAGAAAACAGACCCATGGAGACTGTTGAACCATGGGACACATGCTGAAGCTCAAGTTATGATGATGATGGCTTTTTTTTTTTACTTCTTCCTTCCAAAAAAATGCAACATAATGTCTTAGAAGTCAAGTACAGTAATAAATACAGTACATATACAAAGCATACAGTGTATGCAAATTGTTTAGATGGCAGGTTCATGTGTTCAGCAGTGTGCCATTTTTAACAAAGGGACAGATGCAGAAGGTCAGTACCTTTCCAAGCATTTAGTGACATCTGTGAGCCTCATCCTGGTAAAACTTTGGAAACACTCCCATCATCAGATTTTCCATCTCCACTTCTGACTGTGGATACAACACACCACATTAAGTGACTTTTGTTTTAACAAAGTTCCTTCTATTCAAACACAGTGAAGAGAATTTGTGAAGCCATTTTTCTCCTCAGCCATCTTTTAGTTCTCTCTCCAGAAACTCTTGAGATTAAATAGATTTTTCAGCCTATGTGGTGGTGTTGTTCTGCCACTGACCCCATGTGATAACGGGGGTTTAAATATAGCAGTTATTATGGGTGTGGATTTATGGCTGACAACTGAAAATAATTTTCCTAAACAGTTCTAAAAAATGTAAGACACAAGAGACACAAATGAAAAATGGACTCTGAGTTGAGGAGCTCAAGTGTCACCTCCCCCCTCTCCCCAAAAAAAGTCAATTTGAAGGCATTTCTTAAAAGGTTAGCTGAGGATGAGATGAATAGACCAGGGTTTAGGTGACCTGTGCAGAGACGCAGGTGGACTTGCAAATAGAAAACAAATTGCTCAGCACAGGTATTGACACTGTTTCAACGCACTGTGGGATGCCTAACAACCAATATTCACAGCCTTTCAAAAATGAAAATTGGAAGCGGTTCACATCCTTCTGGTTCACATTTGGATTGCTCTGGGATTCAGTGACATAATTAATGTTAATAATTGTTACGGAACCAACTTTTTGTAGCACAAAACACAGATGAGATCCTCGAGCACTGGAGAGCGAATGCACTGACCTCTGCTTCTTCTGTTTGGTGTTGAAGGGATGATTGTTTGAGAGAGAGGCAAAGACCTGGAATATAAATGCTGCTCACTTCACAAGATGACACATGTTTTGAGATGATAAACTGTGTGTAAGCACAAGTCATTTGAACAAAACAAAAGAATAGAATGAACTGTGGAATATTCTCTCAACTGGAGTTAAATCAGTCTTAGATACAAACAATTTTATAGTTTGTGTTTATGTTCAATTAGTCAGTTGCTGAAAATCACTTTTCTCGGTTTAGGCCAACAGCATCTTGTCCTTGTCGAAGTAAAATCGGAAAATTTCCTCATACTTGGCATTTCAACTCCAGGTTTGCCTTTTAGGTTTCTGAGTAAACAGTTTAATGTCAGAACAGTTTCCCAGGCACAGGGCTTGTTTTCCTCTGCTGTTATTAGTGACGTGATATCAGACTGAGTGACGTCCATTGAGAGGACACGGACAGGAAACATCCCACTTGCCTTTTCTATGACATTGGTGGAAAGTCACTCAGTCATATTTGTTTTACAGCATGAACCTCAGCTCACATAATATTACCACTAACAACATACGATGAGTCACTTTTCTTGTTTTGCATGATGTTATATGAAAATAAAGCAGTGATAGAAAGAATTATCATGTGAACCTTTAATGGGGATAGTTAGCCGGAAAAAGGAAAATTCACTCTTTATCTACTCAACACTATGCCAATGGACGGGTAGGTGAAGTGTTTGAGACACTTTTGGAGTCTCAGGGGTAAACAGCGTTGCAGCCAGATCCAATACAATTGAAGTTAATGGTGACCAAAGAAAAACACATTCAATGCCTCCATACTGCTCCTGTGGTGTCATCCAAATGTATACCCCACAATACCATCAGCAGTAACATCATTCTAAGTACTTACAAAATGAGTTGTGAGATTTGTATCTCTCATCCAGCTGAGACACCTGGGTCTGCACTTCACTGAAAGTAATTTTTCCTGAATGGGACACAATTTACAATTGATCAGGTTCAACAGATAATACTTTAATGTAATGTTCCCAAAACTCCCTGCTCTGTGTTTCAGAGAGATCCTGTTTCAAAATTTTGACTAAACTGCTCGTAGGCACAGTTCCATATACAGTAAAGTAATAAGTGCGGTCAGCCAAGCAGTGACTAAACAAAGCCAAAGCTATAACATAAACTCCTGATGTGTGTGGCATTAATATTTCATTTCCCAGAGCTTGCTCATTCAAGAACAAATCAGAAATTGTAAAACTGGCAAACTGCAGCACAAACTGTGTTTCTATTGATTTGCCATTTGTGTTTCTCTTCCTCGGACAGAAAACATGGAGATCTGACATGTTGATTTGATAACCCGTTGGTGCAGGGTGAGCCTCGGGTTCCACCTCATTACTGCCTGCTGCTCTCTACTGTGTCTCTGCTTCACACTGTGTCGAGACCAGTAGTCAGTTGTATTCAGTGCTGATCTCTCTCTTTCATCCCTTTTAAAGCTATTTTAATCTGCTGGCAGTGACTAGGCGGAACATAGAGGACAGCAATGTTAAAATGCCTGGATTAAAAAATAAAACTTAAATGTTTGCTTATTTTGTTTGGTATCCAGGTATATAATGATTTTGTTTGTTCCATAGTTCTGTGTCTGACAACCTTTGTCCTCGATAATAAAATTCAAAGTTCACCTGAAATAGTAAAACTAGGTCATTCTGACGCTTTGGTAAACGTCACAGTATCACAGCCAGTGTTTTGATGAACACTAAAGTTGGACATTGACATGTGATTAAGTTGTAAAAGCAGCTAACTCTGTGTAATTGTCCAGGGTAGGCCCAACCTCTCACCCAAAGACTTTTTGAGTTTGGCTGCAGTCACTGACCACAACCCTCAAAGTATAAGTGACATAAATAAAGGTTGTATGGAATTCATCCTACATTATCTATTTTAAAATAATAATGAAGATCATGAAAATGTTATTACAAAAAGTCATGCCAGTTACTGCATCCTTCTCTCTGACGTTCCCATCCAGAGCTGAGCTAAGGACTCAGGACTCAGACGGATGTGTCTGTGCCCTACATTCACTTGTTTCACTCAGCTGTCATGCATCAATCACTGAGACGCTGTCATGAGGGACTTTTCCATTTAGCCTGATTACATTTGACCTTGTTCTGTATGCTAATTCAACAAACAAAAGTGAGCAGTGACAAAAACAAAAAACAAATAGACAGCTCAGCCATGATGAGTGGACAGAAAAGTAATCTGGCTGGCATGAATACGCTGATGCCATTAAGGTTGTTGAGGCACTTCTCCTCCCACTACCTGGCATCTGTCCTGAGGAGTCAGACACTGAGGAGGAGGACACCTGCTCATCTGCTGTTAACACAACAGGATCAAAATCACAACCAATGCAGTCTTCTAATTGTCACGTTTCATCTGATCACGAAGCATTGATGTATTTTCTCAATTACCTTAAAAGTGTTTTGAAATCTGCATTTAAGTTGATGAATGAAGCATCTGTAAGAATATTGTCATATTAACAATTGATCACATGATTACTTATTTAAAAAGGTTTGAACATATGAATCAAAAAGCTTTGCGGTTTATATAAACT